CTTTATATATATATATATATATATATATATATATATATATATATATATATATATATATATATATATATAAAGGATTAAAGCAGTTCTGAAGGCAAATGGGGGTCCAACCCAGTACTAGGAAGGTGAACCTAAATAAGTGGCCGGTGAGTGTTACTATTTAAGGTTCAAAAATATACCCCTTAAAATTACTATACTATACCTCTGATGTACCAATATGCACATTTTAAGTACAAACATGAACCTTTTGAGAAAGTGCTGCCTCAGTGAAAGTGAGAGTGTAGTGTGCTCACTGAAGTACAGCTTATTGTAGTAATCAGATAAACGGTTAAGTTATCAAAAATGCTTTTTAATTATGAGTTGTTTCTGCCTTGTGTGTGGCTGTTTTGGGTCGCAGTGTTACGTTCAGTTGTCCTCATTTAGGCAGAAGTGACAAACTACAAGCTTTACATGTTTATATCAGGTTTATATCTTCTAAACGCAAATTTATTCACTGTTTTGGAGCGTACTAGCTTAAAGATATCTGATACTAACCTTTAAAAATTTTATTTTAATTTAATTGGACATTTCTAAAATGTGTGATTATTAAATTCAGATTTTTTGGAACGTAATTAGTTTTTTTTTTTTTTTTTTTTTAGAATTGGTTGCATAAATATAGTATAATTATTTTGTAGTATTGATGTTTTTTACTGTGTGTGGTGTGCATTATATAAATATACATTATCTTTCATTTCACCCAGGTGAAAACAGGAAATAATCAGTGCTCAATTTGCTGCACCTACAACAAACACGCAAGATACAACACCAACACCACACACACTCACCTCTTTTTCTCAGCTCTCTGAGTCTGAGGTGTCCAAACTTGTGCTATCTAGCCATGCAACCACCTGTCCACTCGATCCCATTCCCTCTCATCTCTTGCAAGCCATCTCTCCTGCAGTCATACCAACACTGACTCACATAATTAACACATCTCTTGACTCTGGTTTATTCCCCACTACATTTAAGCAGGCTAGGGTAACCCCACTGCTAAAGAAACCCAACCTGGACCATACGCTACTTGAAAACTACAGACCAGTATCCCTGCTTCCATTCATGGCCAAGATTCTGGAGAAAGTAGTGTTCAATCAAGTCCTGGACTTTCTTACTCAAAACAATCTCATGGACAACAAGCAATCCGGCTTTAAGAAAGGCCACTCAACTGAGACTGCCCTGCTCTCGGTCGTGGAGGATCTCAGACTGGCTAAAGCAGACTCTAAATCATCAGTCCTCATTTTGCTGGACTTGTCAGCTGCTTTTGACACTGTCAACCACCAGATCCTGCTATCTACGCTTGAGTCACTGGGCGTTGCGGGCACTGTTATACAATGGTTTAGATCTTACCTCTCTGACAGGTCATTCAGGGTGTCTTGGAGAGGAGAGGTGTCCAACCTACAGCATCTAAACACTGGGGTACCTCAAGGCTCTGTTCTTGGGCCACTTCTCTTCTCCATCTACACATCATCTCTAGGACCAGTCATCCAGAGACATGGATTCTCCTACCACTGCTATGCTGATGACACCCAGCTATACCTCTCTTTTCATCCTGATGATCCCTCGGTTCCAGCTCGTATCTCAGCCTGCCTGTTGGATATTTCACACTGGATGAAAGATCATCATCTTCAGCTGAACCTCGCAAAAACGGAAATGCTTGTAGTTTCTGCCAACCCGACTCTACACCATAACTTTTCAATCCAGATGGATGGGGCAACCATTACTGCATCCAAAATGGTGAAAAGCCTTGGAGTAACGATTGATGACCAACTAAACTTCTCTGACCACATTTCTAGAACTGCTCGATCGTGCAGATTTGCACTCTATAACATCAGAAAGATCCGACCCTTCTTATCTGAACATGCAGCTCAACTCCTTGTTCAAGCTCTTGTTCTCTCCAAACTGGATTACTGCAACTCTCTACTAGCTGGGCTTCCAGCTAACTCTATCAAGCCTCTTCAACTGCTCCAGAATGCAGCAGCACGAGTTGTCTTCAATGAACCTAAACGAGCACATGTCACTCCGCTGCTAGTCCGTTTGCACTGGCTGCCAGTTGCTGCTCGCATCAAATTCAAAACTCTGATGTTTGCCTACAAAGTGACTTCTGGCCTAGCACCTTCTTATCTGCACTCACTTCTGCAGATCTATGTGCCCTCCAGAAACTTGCGTTCTGTGAATGAACGTCGCCTCGTGGTTCCATCCCAAAGAGGGAAAAAATCACTTTCGCGAACGCTCACGCTCAATCTGCCCAGTTGGTGGAATGAACTCCCTAACTGCATCAGAACAGCAGAGTCACTCGCTATTTTCAAGAAACGACTAAAAACTCAACTATTTAGTCTCCACTTCACTTCCTAATCTGCAATTGCCTCTTTGAATATCACACTAACTGTACAAAAAAAAAAAATAATTAAAAAAACTACTAACACTTCCCTTCTTAGACTTTACAGACCTGAAACTTGCCTTTAGTACTTATTCATTGTTGCTCTTGGTTGTGTAAATTGCTTCCTTGTCCTCATTTGTAAGTCGCTTTGGATAAAAGCGTCTGCTAAATGACTAAATGTAAATGTAAATGTAAATGTAATACTTATTTTATCCCTCATTATATGCTGTTTTTAAAATAGTATGCTAGTGTTTACACCAGTGATCTCAAACTCAATTCCTGGAGGGCCGCAGCTCTGCATAGTTTAGCTCCAACCACGTTCAACTCACACCTGCTTAATAGTGTCTGGTAGTCTGGAACACCTTGATGAGTTGGATCTGCTGGGTTTTACTAGGGTTGAAGCAAAACTGTGCAGAGCTGCGGCTCTCTGGGAATGGAGTTTGAGTACTATGGTTTACACTGATGTCCATCTGTATACAGTAATGAATGTTATTTGCTATTAATGAAATGTCCCTCTTTCTTTCTTGTTATTGTGAAGGTGACAACAGTCAACCGAAAAACATCTCGGCTGTTGTAGGTCGCAGTGTTACCTTCAGATGTCCTTGGAACCTCAGTATTCCTGTTTACAGATTGTACATTCAGAAACTTGGAAAACTTCAGAAGCCTCTGTTCATCAATGGTTTTAATAATGGCAAGAAGCTAGCAGTGTCTCCAGAGTACCAGGACAGAACAGAAGTGAACCAAGCGGAGCTCAGCATGGAGATGACAAACATCAAACTTTCTGATGAAGGATCATATGAATGTTTTGTTTTTTCCTCAACAAGCAGTCCTGGTATATTCCAGATCAATCTCAAAGTCACAGGTATGAAAACATTGTGAACAGATGACTTAATTCTGACTTGAAAGCTTGACATGCTGAGTTAATTTTACCTTTAGAAATCAACAACAGCGATAAATGCAGATTAATTAGTTTTTACTTTTTGCATTTTTTTTCTGAATAAAACAAGAAACGTCCAGAAAACTACTTACACATACTTTTATAAAAATGCAAAACAACACTGTGAACAGTGATTAGTAACCTTACTCTACAAAAGTTGAGTAAACCTAATGTACAAAAAAAAATTAGGTTTGCTGTTTGTTCAATCTACTTATTTCAAGAGTTCACACTTAGCTCATGATTTATACATAGCTTGTTTGGTGTGTTGTCCCGGGAGAGAGGGGATCCTTGGGCCCAGGGCTCCCCTCTTTGGGCGTGGGGAAATTGATCGATTGCTCCTCTCGAAATTACTTTAAAATTAAGCTTCACTTAAAATGAGCTGAAACAACACAATTCTTAAGGGTTTTTTTTTTTACTTAATTTTTTGACCCTAAATCTGACTCCCATCTGGGTCACGGCCCAAATGTAACCTTGCTTGTGCTACACCAACCAACCCGCTCTAAGCTGAGATCAAACTGGCGACTCTGCACATGGAGTTGGTTGCTCTAACAAGGAGTCTAAAGATAAGAGATGTCATAGTGTCTGATGAAGGGTCGTATGAATGTATTGTTTTTCACTCAACAACCAGTCCTCAAATATCCAGCATCTATCTCATGGTCATAGGTATGATACAAAGACGACTCTTTTTCAGCTCGTAAGTGTGAATTTAACGGTAATTCAATGGGCTATATGCACAGCTAGTGTTTTTTAACCATTGATAAACTTCCGGTGAAATCTTAATGTGACTATTTTCAATTTCAAATGGTTGCTTTTACAGCATCAATGTTGTAATGTAATTTAAATTTAATCAGCTAAATAGACTTAAGCATCCATTTGGTTGTTAAAGCAAAAAAAAAGAGACAAAAGACCTTTTAAACACAGGAGCCGTCAGTAGCAGCAGGCTAGCGCAGAAACTCCATTGAAAATACTTTTTATTTATGTAAAATAATTTCCATAATTTAAAGACATGGTGCGAAAAAATATAATTTAATGTAGCGCTTCTTGTTTGGTCTGATACCCACTTTATATTCAATTTCAATTTAATTCATTCTCATTTGTATAGCGCTTTTACAGTGTAGATTGTGTCAAAGCAGCTTCACGATTATAGTGATTTAAAACCGTGTCAGTCCAGTTTTCAGAGTTGGAGTTCAGTTTAGTTCAGTTCAGTGTGGTTTAATTTTCACTGCTGAAATTTCAAACACTGAAGAGTAAATCCATCAATGCACAGCTCTACAGGTCCCGAATCATGCAAGCCAGTGGGGACAGCGGCGAGGAAAAAACTCCACCAATTGGCGAAAGTGAAAAATTAAAAAATCTCAAGAGAAACCAGGCTCAGTTGGGCACAACAATTTCTCAACTGGCCAAATGTCTTGTGCAGAGCTGCAGTCTAGGCACTTGGGGCTGGAGAACGCTGGACGTCAGCGAAGTCTCGTCTGTTCCTGGAGCGTCACAGGAAACAGACTCAAGCTCTCTACTCCTCCATGACCACCACAGCAGCTGCTCAGGATACGGCCTGGTCCGGGATTGTGGAAACTTTGGGATCATCTCGTCGCTGGTCTTGGATCGCTTCAGTGGTGCTGCATAATCTTTGCGGGCCTCAGAATGAGTATCCCCAGGTGTAAATAGAGAATAAAGGGAATAATTAGCGTAGCTGCTGTTCATTGTGTATATAAACCAGATGTGTGTAGCACATTCATGCATCACATCGCTTTGTGTGAGTGTATGCTTTACTGAAAAGATCTAATTAATCTAGTTTTGAACTGGGTGAGGGTGTCTGAGCCTCGGACATTATCAGGAAGGCTATTGCAGAGTTTAGGAGCCTTAAATGAGAAGGCTCGACCTCTTTACTCGACTTGATATCGTACAGTATCTCAGCCTGACAGTGATGATCACTGTTTCTTAAAGAAATCAGATCCTAAATGCAACGATTTTGTATGGGATAACAATTCATCGGTAGCCCTGGTGCTGGTGGACTGACATTAAAAGTCTGTGTGCATATACCCCATTTGGAGTCAAACAACATCAATTATTGCCTTTTGTTGTTTACATCTGAAACTCTAAATATTTACTAAATCATAAGTTACTAAACTATTTCACTTGTCCTGTTTTTATAGCTGAATTCAGCACTCCATCTGTGGAGGCCGAGTGCGGCGAGCACAATCCCGAAAAGGGGTGGAGCTGTCAGGTGAGCTGCGGGGCTGGGGGCGGGTACCCACGTAGTGATGTCATATGGGCAGGGCTTAACCAGAGTATGATGATCGTCCTTGACGACAGCTCTTCGGAAGATCCTGCATCCAAAACATGGAGCGTCAACCAAACCATCAAGTACACCTGCGAGCGTCCGGACAATGTCAGCTGTGAAATAGGGGGCGCTGTTTCCCAAACCATCACTATATGCAAGTCAGCTATGGGATTTGATTTGTTTTGTTTGTGATTTTGAGCAGAAATTAACACGTGGTACTCACTGCAGAGCCACATGGGCAGAGCTGAGCTCCAGCAAGGAGGAGCTTGAGCTCTCGCTTCTCCTTGCTGCACTTCTTCTACTAGTGATGTCACTGGGGGTTGGGGTTAGGGGTGGGATGAGTGAACGCATTAAAACCATAGACTAAAAGATATGGACGTAGTATTGGTGACGTCACCCATAGGTTTCTGAAGATCGCAAATGAAGCTACAAGTAGGCACGGCCAACCGTTACCATTTTGTTTGCGTGTCATCGCACCGACCGGGGGTGACCACACAAGAGCAAAGATCCCTGATAGCAGAAAAATGCGAATTACTTCCAAATATATATATTCTGTGTTTGTAAATGCAAGGATACTCATGAAATTCAGGCATAACACTGTATGCATTGCCGGAGCACTGTAAGCTGAACTGCCGCTCTAGGCAAAGGAAGATCATGCTGCCCTCTCTTTTCTGCCGCCCTATACGCGGATATAACTGAGGACGCGGGTGATAAGAGAGGTGTCGTAGACGCCGCCCTCTTTATTCTGTCGCCCTAGGACGCACCGGCCCTGACTGTATGACAACGTTTCAGATGACCAGGGGCATAGTGGCCATTTTAAAACTGAAATCCAAAAGTTTTTTGGATTTTTAATTACTTGTTTCTAAACGGTCTGTCTCTAAAAGTGAGGGGGACATGCCCCCCGGTTGCTATGCCCCTGCAGATGACTGTTTTATAGCTTACAGCTAATCAATCTGTCAGATTCTGGAGTTCCTTACAGCTCTAAAGAAAAATATTAATGATAAATGATCTTAAATAAAACAAATACATTTATAGAGATGGTGTATATCTATATAACTTCACTCACCTGGGAAATGGAGGAAACTTGAATGGTTTGTGAGCACAAATAAGTGCACACATCATGCCATATCATCTGATTATTGTAGGAAATATTCCCCCTTTGGAGTCCAAGTGCCTCTGCAGTAAGCAGCGTCTCAAAATTAATGGAATTAATTTGTGAAAACTATCAACATACTGTGTTAAATATGTTATATATGTTTCTAAATATATATATATATATATATATATATATATATATATATATATATATATATATATATATATATATATATATATATATATATATATTTGAAGTCAGAATAATTAGCCCCCTTTTAATTTTTTTTTCTTTTTTTAAGTATTTCCCAAATGATGTTTAACAGATTCAGGAAATTTTCACAGTATGTCTGATAATATATTTTTTAAATATCAATTATTTGTTTTATTTCGGCAAGAATAAAAGCAGTTTTAATTTTTTTTAAATCCCTTTTAAGGTCAATATTATTAGCCCCTTTAAGCTATATATTTTTTCAATAGTCTACAGAACAAACCATCGTTATACAATGTTAACCTAATTAACCTAGTTAAGCCTTTAAATGTCACTTTAAGCTGTATAGAAG